GAGAGTAAAGGGAATAGGCAGTGCGAAGGACGAAAGAAGAGGAGCACTAGGAGTAAAATGGTGCAAGTGGCTCGACCAATGGTGGTAGCCTGGCGGAAGGATAGGTATACGTAGGTTGGAACCGGTGGTATCAAAGGACTAGAGCTACTCCTCCCGGCTGGATCGCCTTCGCCGTGCTTCGCCTAGGTCTGCGACCATAAGTGGAAGGATGACTGGTGGTACACGGGGGTCGGTGTTACTCGTTTTTCCAATTCCTACTCCCACGGAGAGCAGAGCGCGGAGGAAGGTGGGACGCGCCTATGATCGGTTTCGCGCGGCGAAATCCAAAGACCCCGAGGAGGAGGAGGAGGAGGAGGAGGAGGAAGAGGAGGAGGAGGGAAGAAAAGGAGGAAAGCGAAAGAAAGGTGGAAGAACGGTGCGCGGCCGATTATCGGGATAGATTAGCGTGTAATTTCGGAGCGCGATACGTTGCTCGGTTTTAACGAGAAATCCCCTATCTCTCGATTTGGTCTAGCTCAATTTCGCATTTTGCGACCGTGCTTTGCTCCTCTTTTTTCCGCAATACGGTGCCGTGGCCGAACTAATAGGGGGGCCCGCAGGGTGAGGGTCCAGAAGAGGAGGAAAATAAAAGAGGCACGGAGGAGGGGGAGGGTGGAGAACGCGCCAAAAGCGAGAGGGCAGGAGAGAAAGGGTGGCGAGAAGGAGAGAGAGAGAGAGGGAGAACGGGAGGGCCGCGAGAAAAAGAAAAGGAGTTTGCCAACAGCACCGGAGGAAGCCCCGAAAACACGCTGGACGTGTGGCGCCATCTCGGCTCCTTTTTTTTCTTCCTCCTTCTCCGCCACTCGCCGCGCACACCCCCCGTGCTTGTTCCTCGTGCTTTTGTTACTTCGCCCATACTAATTCTTCGCGAGCTGCACGGCGTGCCCGGAGTGCGTGGGGAGAAATCGGCCGGGGAGGGGGAACGGGGCCCGAGCGCGGTGGAAGGGGCCCTGTGCATCGACCAGTGTCGGATTAAGCTGCTTTCGCACCCTCTTCGTACCTCGATTAGATCGCGATTTTAAGCTCGCCGAAATTTCCAACACCGCCCCGCCGCGGTTTCGCGCTTTCCGACTCGCCGTTATCGTTGCCAACATCTGGCGCGTTTAAGTTTAGACGTGTACACCGGCGAACCGGCGAAACTAGCAGTAGGGCACGTACTCGAAATATGATACAGCCGAGAGAGAGAGAGAGAGAGAGAGAGAGAGACGCTGCCCCGAGAAACGCTTCCATGCCCGCTGTCACAGCCAGCACGCGAGACGATCGACCGGCGATTTTTTCCCCCGAGCCGAGAAGAATCGCGTGTAAACGTAAAACCCCCAAGACCGAGAGGGGGCAAAAAGAGGAAGCAGAGCTAGTGTGTGTACCGCTTTAAGAATTCTCTCTCGGTGTGGTAGCCCCCACGAGAGCGCGGACCACATACCTGCAAACGAACGTTCTTAAAAGGGAGGGCAGAGCCCAAGAACAGGTCGTTAAAATGTAATGACATTGTTGTTTTTAATGCTCGCCTCTTTAAAACGGGCCCTTTCGTCTTCCTCGAGCCTGCCCGCTGCTAGCTCCTGCGTCCTCTCTTCCTACTCTCCTTTCCCGTTTTCTCGTCGGAGAAAAAGCCATCGCGAGTCCTCTGCTTCCTTTCCCTCTATCAGCTACCCCTTCGAACGGTACCCCTTTCGAGGGCAAACAGATCACGACGGATCGACGGAAGCGAGGGAAAATTCTCACGTTTCGATGGTCGGAGCGGGAATCCGCGATTTCCTAGGTGGTCCCCACCGGTTTAGAGGGGCCGCGATTTGTACGTCGTTCTTTTAACGATCTTTCCTGGCAACCGATAACCCGTTACCTGGGTTACAGACACCGTGTAGTACCCGCTTCGAGATGACACCGCTACTTTGCTCGCTTTTGCAGCCTGACCTCACAGCTATCGGTATCGAGTGTCATGGACCCCCTCTGCGAGCCTTCGATTTTTCTTACCTCGCTACGCGTCGTAGCTAAGGATCATCATTCTTGCGGCTCGAAATGAAAGGCAGGGAAAAGAAAAAAAAAAAAAAAAAAAAAAGGAAAAAAAAAGAAAAAGGAAGAAAGAACTCGCGAAGAGATAGGCGCGAAAGTGTATACTCGCGATCGTCACGGTCAACCGGTGAAATTTTTTGGCCGAGACAGAGAGATACGACTCCGTATAGTAGACGGACTATACTCGTGGCGAGGTTTCGAGAATACCGATCGAATCGGTCGCGTACTGGCCATTTTCCGTTGTCCAATTACTCGAAAGGCGCGAACACGGTCGTCGCGTTAGCGAGTGTCGGTTCCAAGCTCGCTTCGGCGAACCTACGCTACCTGTAACTTTAAAAAGAAGCACACGGTACGATGCGATTAAGCGTAGACCATTCTCGAGAGAACGAGACCGGTTAACGATATCGCGATGTTTACGGAACGAAGCAACGCGTTCGACGCGATAGACACTGTCGCGATAGGTTTGCCGTAATTTCCACCTGGAATTATCATCGCCTTCCTCCTCCGAATTTCTCTCTCCTCGATCTGGAGCCGGGCATAACTTTCTCGTTAAGAAATATATCCGGTTCGGGGAGATTACGCTAATCCGTGGAGCCGGGAGAAGTGGCGGAGAAGCGGACGCTACATTTTTCTCGGATATTTTGGGGAATTAGCCAATTAACTGCACGGTGGCAAGTCGAGGCAGTCGCAAAAGGTCTTCATTAGGAAGGACCCGATGGCGAGTTGGCTACCGCACAACAGTTTAGCTCGGAAGTTAAGTGTTGCGTCTAAGAAGAGCTATCATTAACTCGAGAATAGGGTCTGGTATTAGGATTAGTGGGCAAAACGTTTCGGATAGGGTGTTTCTCGACTATTTAACTCCTCGGTCCCTGTCCCTTGGCCACTTTCGAGCAGTCTGTGATCATCGCGCGACTTCTCTCAGCTGGTGTTAACATTCTTTTACCTCGAACAGACCACCGGAAAAGGGATCTGCCTTCCGGTGGTCGTGACGCGAGAGAAAGATAGCGAGAGCGCGCAGTGCGAATCGGGCACTCGTATTGTGCTACGTAGCCTCTGTACGCTTGCTAGTTACCGTGTGTAGCATAGAGAATCTCGAAGAGGCACGGAGGATCGTTTTGGAAAAGAGAGGGGCCCTGAAACGGGGGGAGGGGGGCAGGGTGAGATCGCGGTGCGGGACCAGAGAGAAAAAAGGCTAAGAGCGTGTTGCGAGTAGGAAATCTCGCGGTTATTTCGATATCGTTATCGAATTCTGCCGTATCGTGCACTCTCGTAGCACACGTATCACGCGTAGTCTGGCAACTGTGGCAGCGATCTCGAGTCGCGGCCAGCCAGCGGCAGCCTTGGCTTTTCCGAAGAAACTGTCACTCACCTCCGTGTACGTCAGCGACGTTGCGAACTACTACGCACCACTCTAGAAATTTGCCGAGAGAGCGGAAAATGATCGGTAAACAGTTGCAAACGAACGCTCTCTACGACGCGCCCCGTCCCGTGCTCACTCCGATTTTCACTCCGGTCCTCTCTCGGCCGGAACTCTGCCGTTCTTCTCCGGCCCGGCGCAAACTACCGGATCAGAGGAGGAGGTCTGTAGCGACAAATTTGAAGAACGGTTTGCCTCGAAACACGGAGATCCGATATGAGGTTGAGCCGAACCGAGCTGAGCTGAACACGAAACTGTGCTGCCGATCTCTCGTGTTCCGTTCTCCTCCTCCTCTTGCTCCACCTCCACCGCCACCGGAGTCTCCTTCAGCTCCTCCTTCTACTCGGTACGTTCGGTTCCGCGCCGTTCCCGTTCCGTTCTCTCTCTTTCTCGTTCTCCCAGTTTCTCCAGGTATCCTCGTGGAAACAGAAAGAGAAAGGATCACTCTCTGAACGAGATGGAGAGGGGAGGAATCAACGGTAAGCAAGAGAGATCTTTGACTACCTCTACAACGACGTCGCGTGTACTGTAAAAAGCAAGATCGCCCGAGGCCTTACACCTCGAACCAGTAAAACTTGTCGTACGCTAGTGCCAAAGTGCGTTCGTCCCGAGTTCTCATTGCCAGTTTCGTTGTTGCCTCGTTTGTCCGATCGTGCCACGGCATCGGCCGATCTCTCGCCACGATACCAGCAGAAAATCCGCTGCTTCCCGACTCACCGACCGAACCCTCGGTGACAGACGGTATCGAAGGTTCACGGATCCCAGAGGAGGAAGACAGAAGCCAGCAGACGAAGAAGAATGCGCCACGGCTCGGTCAGAGTTTCGTATTTGTCCGCCAGCCACTCCCACTTCGCGAGGGTAGAATGAAAGAAGTGGTAGTTTCGTAGGAAATTTATTTCGATCGTCGCCCGATACTCGGATATTACGTCGCGGAACGTCTCCGAGTATCGTCTAGACCAGTCGTCTTTGGTTTCAACGACGCGTCTCGTGTCCAACATCTTTCTATTTCGAAGGTCGAGCAGCTCCTCCGCGCACCTCGCGTATATGGTAATCGCACGCGTAAGCCACGCAACAGGCTAAAGGCTTTTACAATTTCCCCTAATACTTTGCCTCTTTTGCGAGAGAATCGGTCCACGAGCTGCCTGAATCGTCACGCCTGGTCCACGCTCCCGTCGATCCGATTGTCCACGGAGTTGCCGTTGTATTCGCTCGATCCCAGTGCCATTCGTCTCGTCCGATCCACGCTGGGGCCTAGATCGTTGTTCAGGTATTCCCTGAACTGCACGCACTTTTGCTTCGTGTTGATATCGTTCGAGCTGCCCCAAATGATGAGTCCATCCGCGCCCTGGTCCGCGATCTTCCGCAGAGTAGCGTCCAGGTCAGCCTGCGGAGATAAATTCATTTTCAGCGCCAATCTCGGGATTCGTCGTCGGGTCACGTATCTTTCCATCTCTTAGAAACGTTTACGAAATCGTACCACTCACCTTGCTCAAATACGTGTCCCTCTGATCTTGGTACTTGTACCAGTAATAGGGGAGAACCCTTTTCCTCGCTGCCATTTGCTTCGCTATTCTCAAGGCTTCCTTCACGCGGCCACCGACCAGGCCCACTCTCTGGCTGCTGGTCAGGCTCAGTCTCAAGTATACCGACGGCAGGAGAACGTCTTCCAGCGCGTACAGCCATGACATTCTGAACGAAGAAGCACACGGTCCTGGTTGGCTTATCGAGACCGATTAGATAACGACGATGTAACTCCCTCGGGACGATTTCAATTTTCACCGGGACACGATTCTTGACACTGACCCACTTAAGCCTAAGCGTTTCAACGTTCACGGCCGATTCGTAATCTCGTTACCTTAAATCTCCAAGGAAAACTATTCACGGTAACTAGAGCACGCGATCGGTTCGTGAAAGGTGCCAATTCGATAAATACGAGCGATATCCCTACACAATGCGATCGATTCGATCGTTCCGCGGATTAACCAAACAGTGGTAAACAGAGAAAGAGAGAGAGAGAGAGAGAGAGAGAGATAGGGAGAGAAACGCGACAGCAAAGATGGTTGATCGGAATAGAGGATGTTTGACGATTACGTACTTATCGTTTTCCTGCATCGTCGTGCTATCGCACTGGGAACTGGGTTGATTCGGTGTGAGATTGTAGCAATAAGGGTAAGCATAGTAGCCCCAACTACCGGACGGCCTGATCTGTTTGGCAGCCTTCAATGTCTCCTCCATAAAAAGTTTCCCGTATTTCTCGAATCTTCGCTTCGCTTCCTGTTCCACGCTCCGACTATCCCAGAACGGATGCTCGCGGCGAACTATCTCTATGGAGAGTTTCTTATAAGGCTGGAGAGAAGCCCAATTCTGTCGGAAGATTGGCCTCCAACTTTCGAAATCGATCACCCCCACACCGTGAAACGATTTGTCCGGGATCTGATTGATTAAGTGCTCCCGAAATACTTGGAGATGCTTGGTGAGATTGCCTTCTTGCGGGACACCGCCGTTTCTCGTCACTACGTTTCCTGAATAACGTTCAAAGTTGTTTCCACTCTCCTGTCCATCGATAGGCTCGCGGTATAAGGAACGAGTATTGTTTTACCGTTCGGCTCTTTCAGCAACGCCGGGAACATGCCAGGGTCGTAAAGAATAGCGATCTCTTCTCCGCGGAACTTATCCATCGAGTTCTGTATGATACCATATTTCTCCGATACTTCTTCAAAGTGCAGCCCGTACTTGTGGCACATAAACGTGGGTACGTTCCAGTAAACGTTGAACTCCCGTTTCCCTTCGCTCTTGGGGGTGGTCGGTATGAAGCTGACAAGAGAAACGAGGTGTTAGCTGAGAATCGCTAGGCTCGAGAGCGTGGCCAATGACACGAATTAGATAAGATATTTTCAGACCTGAACTTGAACGCTTTATGGGTATTTCAGGAGTTACAGGATGCGCTTGCCAACATTCGTGTAGTCTTTCTTCTATTTCGTTTCCCTTTATTTCGTACGCGCGAATCTGCAACGCGCCTCTATATACGCGTCCTCGCAGAGTTTCCTCCGCGACACGTGTTTCCTCCAACGAGTTTCCGTCGGTTCTCTCTCGACCCGCGATTTCTTTGAATTTTGGACCGGAGGAAGAGACAGGATTGACTGTTCGCAAGGCATCTTGAGAATTAGAGGTGCGTTAAGTACCCGAAAAGGAACGCGTCGATTTGCAGTAGCAGGGCCAGCGAGAACATCACACGGAACGTCATCTCTTCTACGATCCCGATGACCGAAACATGGATCGACGCACCGTCCTGCGCGTCTGACGAGGTGGTTAAGCGTGGAATGAGCCAGCGAAGAATCACCCTGTCGTTGCTTATTGATCTATCCTACTTGCAGGAACGACTAGACGATTCCACGAGGAACTCGTCAGAGGTCTTCCTGAATAAACGTCAACGACGATGGTACAACAGCAGTGCGACTGAATTCCGCTCGATTTCAGGCCACTATTTATTCCACATCGTGTGTCTCGTCTTCCCCACCTACGTGCTCGTCAGCGCTTCGTGCTCTTATCTGCTCCGGGTATTGTTCGGTGATTTCTCGTTTCCGTTTTTCCTTTTCTTTCTTTTTTTTTTTTTCTTCTTCGTTTCGTGCAAAAGGGCATCATGCGTCAGCGATCAATCTCGTTCACAATAAGAGTGCACCGAACCCCCTATGCAAACACTGCGAAATCGGTACACTTACCCGACCAAGGACCATCGTCGAGTTGAAGGCCTTCGTCGGAGGAACGGTGTTCCGTCATCCGGATCTCGGGTTCACCTCGCAGGCCTGTCACGATCGCCCGTATTTTCGAATCTCCCGTGTTTTCCCCAAGGATCATCGCCGAGACTCGTAACGCGAGATCTCTGTGGCATTTTTCCTAGTCCATTACAACGATCTAATTCGACTTTTCCTTGTCGTAAATTTTCTGAAAGCGATACGGAGAATGCTACGTTCGGTTCATGCCGATGTAAGGAATCGTGTTGGCAAAGTAAGCCCGATGATGTTCGAAATGCCAGTAGCAGTGGCCATGTTTCGGTTATATTTCGTCTTCTGCGTAAGTACGGTAATGAGTAGAAATAACAGCGGGCTATTTATTTCGTTGACCGTGTTATGATATCAAGCAGTATAAGGATGCTACGGATGATGCATGCGGGCAGCCCATATTTCTGCGTTACTCCTGAATTGTCCTTTTCCACCGTGTCTTTCGCGCGTTACGCAATCGTGTTGAATTAAAAAATATCCAACAAGGAAAGTGAACGCGTTTGAGGAAGGTCGTGTTCCTATTTCGCACGTTTTTCGGCGTCAGTTTCTTGCAATTATTCAACTTTGTTTAATTACATGCGATTACTTAATTGCCTTACGTGAAGAAGACGATTGTTTTTCTTCTACAAATATAACAATTTGCCGAGTTTCGAGGTAACGTGTCCCTTTAATCTTAATGGTCGAATTGATTAGGTGAAACGCTTTTACAAGGGTGTTAAGTTCTGCTTCGTGAGTTTCTTTTTATGTGTTCAGATAATAACACGATAACGACCAAGGTAACAATAAATTCCACATTTCGCCATTAATCATGAGAATAGTATCATCTTAAAGATAAAACTTCTAGGTGCTTTCTTGTCGGTTTTTCAGTATAATTGGTGACATTGGAGTAAAAATAAATTCTTGTTAATTGCCAATTATCGGTGGACACTAAGAACAGAAAAAGAGGTAGTCAAGGGAATGGAATTAAATACAAGGTAAAATTATAAATGTCTATAAAGAAGAATTTTCCGACATTATCGTGGTATAAATCGATAATAGGCCCATCGTAAAGTTGTGCAATTAGTTTGAACAGACGTTATTCACTTGTGTGTACATTAAAGAGAATATTATGGAGCAATTCGCGTGAAACGTTTCGATAGATGACGTATAGAAGTATGATACCTGAGAGAGGATTCGTCCGAGTTCAAATTCGAATTAAATGGTTTGTCATTTGAAATTCGGCGTGTACGTGTCAGCCGTTTTAATTGTCACAGGGCCATCGTTTCGCGCCTTTTATCTTGAAAAAGGCCTTGCATGTCGGTCGTGAGTATATTGTGTTAAATATTGATCTGCAGCAACTGTTACAAAGGCCTCGACTCGTATTAAGAGCACACGTTGCTTTCGTAAAGGAATAAACGTTAGTCGGGAAACGTTTGTTGAGCGAAAATAAAAAGAAATTGTCGTGGCGTTAGTCTTTTCCGGAAAGTTTAAATTATCTGAAACATAGCTTGTAAAGATATATATTTCAATGAGGTTTAAATTTGAACAACATAAATTACTTTTGATGCCGCACCGCTGGGTCAGCGGTGTTTCCCTTAATGACAGTCCTTAAAAACTGGTTTCTTTCTGTGTCTTTTTAGTTTTACCGCTATCTAATCGGCGCCGGAAGCGGACCCCTCGTTACGCAACCACGTGTTTCGAAGGTACCGGAAAAGAAAACAGTATCAAAGCTAATAATTAAAAAATCGTCGAAATCTTCGATGAATCTTTATAAACGCGTGTCATGCGATAAATTTAATAACTTTATTCTGTGCAGGGGTACATACATATGTTACAAAGGGAAAGTGAAATACACAGGTAAAATTGAAGGGAACGAACAAAGGGCATAAACAAACAAATGGATCGCTTTACTTTCGATCTTCTTTTATTTCAATTTTTCTTCCACTCTCACTTCGGCATACCGCTGCGACCTATTTAATCAAACAGACGCTACGAGAAACCTGTTATCCCAAATTAAATAGCGTCCGAAGAGAACTTTAGGGAACTTTTATCGAGACTTCACAGTCGACCATACCTGCAAGACGGAAATTTCCTCCACATGGTTTTTGCAAAATACTAGAGCATACGATAATTATCTACATTGCTCGAGTCACGCACATACGTATATACACGCGTTGCACATGCATATTTCGATTTCGATCTTGAACTAATGTCATGATCAAAAGTCGAGACGGAGGGTCTCCAAAGATAACATGCGCGAAATTGCGCGAATCCAATGGAACATCCTACTTGACACGCTATGGAAACATCGATTCCTTCCGATTATTCGATATGCTTCGGATGTTCATCGGTAAAAATTAAACTTATATTTGCCACTGTTTCAATGTCCCTCTTATATCATCCTGTTAATCTTGGTTTCCCTGTTTTACCATCACTTCCAATTCTTAAGCTTGCACATGCGAAAACTTGTATCTAGACAACGGATTTGTTGAACTAGAACTTTATTGGAGCACCAGACCAATTTTTCCGGGTGTCATGCTAGGACAACGCCAATTATATAAATAATATTGCAGATTTCCGTCGCCTATACCGAACTTTAATGGTTCTAAGAACTCTTTGTTATCCATAAGGTCCAACGCGTTGAACACGTCGAAGTTAAGCTGAAAATAATATGTAAACAATGTTTCTTTTCTTACATAATAAAAGTGCAAACAGCGAGACTTACATCACGGGCCGATATCAATGCATCGGTCATAAGTTCGAGCCAAGGAGTCACGGTGGACACATTGTAGAAACTGTACGCAGCCCGCAGCGTCTTATGTGTCGGATGATGCATTATGGAACTCGGCAATGTGTAGTAGCTAACTAAATCGGTAATGTTACCCTCATTTTCTACTACAAAACTATTAATAATCCCGTTTTGTGGAAGGAACCAATGGCGGAACTCCTCCACCGAGAAGATTGGAGCCAAGTCAAATTTCTCCAAATACTGAAATACGGATAAACCTAGTGCTCGATTAAAGTAATAATATCAAAATTTTCACCATCTACGCTACGATTCTGTGAAAAATCCTTACATCGCTTAATATCTTATGAGCCTGAGGTATGTCCGCTTCCACCAATTTCCTGAATCCTGGTACTTTTGTATTCTCCGGCAGTTTGTACAACTTTAAAGTTCTTTGCATGGTCATATTTCGAGATAAATGCGAGAACTTTACTTCGATTAGTTTCTTTGGATTGAGAGAACGATGCCAATACCTGGGAAAATGAATTCGTGGTTAAATAACGATAAAAATTGCAACCTGTTTATGCAAACAGCGATATAATCATCGGGTTACGCACCTGCAAGTAGCTATTGGTTTTGGTAGTACGACACCAGCGGTATACACAGCCTGAAATATACCTTGAAGATTAACTCTCCTAGTTATCTCGCGTATTAACACTGGTGCAACTCGTTTTGATCGTAATTTCTTGTGCACGCATAAGAAATTTATTTCCACCATTTTTTGGGTGCTAAAATTGTATCCTTGCATTAGCTAACAGGGGACAGATTGAAAAATATTCAAAACCTACTGATTATAAACACGCAGAGTAGCTGGAATAGCGGAAATGAAACCGACTAGACGTCCGCTTTTAGTCACCCGTACCCCACAGTGCCATTCTTTGCACCATCCGGGGGATTGTAATGCCCTGAAAGCATGCACGATTGAAGACTTATAGAGTACAAGGAGACAAAATTTAATCGGTTGATCTCTTATTTACCATTTCAGAAAATTTGGTGGATAATCAAATCTGAACATAGCATCGTCATCTTCCACGTAATTTTCAGATAACAAAGTGTATAATTCAGATAAAACTAATGGATCATCTAGATTTAACGTGTCCCATTGAAAGTCTGCTGGTAGCGAGTAAGGTTCTGCTCTGATTGATGTTTTATCCGATTCAATCGGTTCATTTTTAACTATCTTTTCATCTGTGAAAAAATATCAGAAAGTAATTTTATCGATTACAAATTATTTATTACCATCGTTGATATAAAATGTTAAATTATTTACCCATTTTTGGTACCGGCTGTGTACTCCAAAACTGATAAGGCTTCTCCATAGCCTCTTCTTGAGTTTTGGCAGGTTTTTGATGTATATTAAATACTTCCATGGCTATTTGTAATTCCTTTATAGAAATTTTACACGTGCTATTCATTTCATGTTCGTCTTTATGGCCACTATGGTTGTGGTTTTCAGTGGTGGCATGCGCCATCTTATTCTTCTTCTTAAGATGTCTCTTCTTCGAACTAAATTACACATATTTTTCTTTTAATACGTTACATAATAACAGCAAAAATTCAACTCGTATAAATAATGCAATGCAGAGGCATAAATTAATAAAACAGGACAGGATAAAAGAGAACGAAGGTGTCAAAAACTCTAATAAACAACATATATTTTAAACAAAATCTTCAAAAGTAATAAAATGCACAGACAATCATTACACGTACATTTCTGTTCTTGCAATATCAGAACAATGTATGGTAATAGATATCATTGTTTAAAGTTTATGGATTAGTAGGTTACTGTGGCCCATAAACATAATTCTAGACGATGGAGCAAAATTGTGACGGCCAAGCATAACAATACGAGAAGGATATTATTATTTCGATTGAATAATGACATGTAATTATTGACATTATATAACGGATGACAAGAAATAACTTTAAATTGTGTCTATGCTATTGCCGGTCATCCATAGCCCGTACATAGAGCAAATTATATCAAGGATTTTCCAATTGTCCCGTTTGAAATTATACAGTAAGTACTTCTTGGGAATCGTATAAACATTCGCTTACCTCTTAGATTTCCCATCTTTCTCGTGAATCTCATCCTTCTTAGCCTCTCGTTCCACAACTTGACTCTTTTCCTCCATTTTAATATAGATTTTGATAATGCGCATGTACAGGATACAGTGGCTCCTCCTGGTAGAGGTTAAACGTAAAAGAAGCGAGTCACGTGACCCCCTCTTCTTCGTGCTGTTCCTTCGAAAACTTGCGTTGTCGTTCGTGAGTGCAAATTATATAAAATTTTTCCTGCGTAACTTTATTAGTCGTAAAAAATATTGCCCGGAAAAGTTTCCGTCCGGTTCAGGGAACGCGAATTATATGAAGTTTTCGGTGAGTGAATGAAATTGAACGCATTTCCGCGAAAAATGTTCGCCGGGTTTACGAGTCGTTCTAACTACGTAATGTACGCGATAGTTGGGAGGAAATTTCTTTGATCGTTTGTCTTAAATCTCGTTGAAATTGGAATATTCTTACGTATAATACCGTGCAAGCGTGATAGACATTATTCAAGCAAAGATGAAACGTGGATGGAACGAGGCTTCTTGGGAAGCTTTCGACAAAGAAGAGGAAGCGTGGGAAAATTGGATGGCGCGGAAACTTCGAACGAGAAAGGCAAGCAATATGGCGTCGGTAATTGCGCGGGAAATTTGGCGGGATTCGGATAGCTATTTCGTCATCCACGTTATTTCTTCGAATCTTTGTCATCGTACAACGTGAGTAAATACAAACACCGTTCACTTTTAAATAAATAATTATTACAATATTAATAAATATTATACATTTCACGTTAATTAGTATACTTTTAACTATTAATAAAAATCAATCTCCATAAACGAAGGAGTATGAAAATTTCAGTAGGGACGAAATTAATTTTAACTTGGATCAGTAATTAAAGTACGAGTTTATTATAATTATATTATATATCATATACTATTATTATAATTAATATATGTAATATTATATATATTAATTATAATATTATACATTATATAT